TTTCTCATCTGCTTTCCTCTGATTGTCTCTTACAGGACAAAAAGTACTGAAAGTAATTTTTTGCTAGCTATACAGCAGAAATAAGATCAGAAATATTGTCCTTATCCCCCCACCCCTCACCTCAGTCCAAAAATTAAAGATTGCTCAAATGTCGCTAATTGTTCAGCTTTGAGTGGGGGAAAACTAGTATCAGATACAGAAGTAAAAGATTTTAGAGGGGTAAACAAATCCCTGTGAGTAATTAAGACTTGCAACTCAAAACCTAAGTTAATACCTGGAAAGTTATCTGCTGAAATATGACAGAAAACCAGTGCTTTAAATGTCTTTAATGCACTTAATGTACAACATTCCTGTTTAAATGTAGAGGGCTAATAGCTTAAAACATGCATTTAACTTCACAGTCTTGGTGGTAAGTACAATTTAATGGGGTGCTAATAGGTGGATACAGCTAAGGAGCATGAAGGATATGAAGAGAAGGCTCCAGGAGGAGGGCTGTGTGGTATAAATACTGAGCTTACTGTCCAGGAGTAACAAAAAGCTGAATTCTACTTTTTCTCAGCTTCAGTATTTATTATGAGTGCATGAATATTTATAAATTCTAGTCGTTATTTCTAAGTTCTAAAATCCTGGAATCGTGTATGTTCAACTGAAGGTGGGCCTCATAAATCTCTTAGTCCATCACAGGTTCACTGGCTAATTCAGGTTGGAAGGGACATCAGCTGGTCTCTTTTCCACCACCTGCTCAAAGCCTGCTGTAGGCCATGTTGCTGAGGGCTTTGTCCAGTCTAGTCTTGCAAAACACCCAGGACTGGAATTGTGCAGTCTTTCTGAGCAACCCGTTTCACTCTTTGACTCTTCTCTTTGTGGAAAAAGCTTTTCTTACCATCCAGGCTGAACCTTACTTAATTTGATCTATACTGTCCTCCCACCGTACACCACCATGAAGAGCCTGGCTTTGTTTTCTCAATCATCTCCTCACTGGTGAAAAGTTGATTAGGTCCCCCTGAAGCCAGGCTACCGTTGCTCCACGGAGTACATTTTTCTAGTGCGTAGCCTGACTCAGCTGGACACATGGCAAGAGCTTTATCTTTCACTGCTTCCCACCAGGATGGAACGTATCACTGTCAGGACATTAACACCAGTACTCCTCTCATGCAGTCCTTTCTTGATTTCATCTTCTTACTTTATTTAAAATGAGCTTAAGTGCTAGGGTCATTTGTTAAACAGGCCATTAAACTATGTTTAGTGGAATGGGTAAGTGATCTTAGCCAGTAGTTACCAGAACTGTGTCTGAACAGGTGACTAACTGTGGTCAGAATCAGCGCTACCCAATCAAGGAAACTGAATGAAAGGAATGAAAGACTCAAATTCTGTGTTTAAATCTGATCTGCTGGCAGTTCTACACTGAGGAAACTCAGTTGACTTCCTTGCATCATTTTATTGATGCACCTTGAATTATCTTAGTTTTCAATTTACTGCAAAGTTTTGTGAATATCCTTTGTTAGATGCATTTTTGTTGCTTTAAGTATTTCTAGGTAGGTATTAGGCAAAGAATTAGTATTTTAAAAAAGGCAGGGGTGGAACCTAACAAACTTGTAGAGTTTGTCAGATGATTTAGCTAGATGAGAGAACTAGCTTGAACATTTCCAGTGATGATAGATGATGCCTTGATGTCCATTCATGTAATTGTGCTTTTACACTACATTTGACAATATGCTGGATCTGCTTTTTAAGCAGTGAGCTGTGGCCTTGGTGTATCTGCAGTTGTGTTATATTCAGAGTGACCTTCATATTAATTGATAGCACAGGGAAAATTCTTTTGTGTGCAATTTTTTTTTTTTCTCACAGGAAGAGTTTAAAAAACAAAACCTCTTGTAAAAATTCCACTCTATACCAAAGAATTTTCCAGGTGCTTATCACTAGAAGGGTGAGACTCTGAGAAAAGAGCTTTAGAAGGTTATGAACCCCTGCGGAAGTGGTAACAGTGTACAAAGGACTCCGTTCTTGTATATCCTGTTTTCTGTAGTCTTAGGAGAAACTACATTTATAGTATTTAAAGAAAGGAAAATCCCATTCTTAATGCATTTATTAAAAACAGCCATTTGGATGGATGTTTTTTAATGATCGTTACATAGACTGGATATAGGAACATGGCTGAGCATATCAAACAGCAGCCTCCCTGAATTAATGAAATCTTGGAGCAGTTTGAAATTGGATGTACCAAAGGCATGTGTACTCTAGTGAGCAGCTGTCTCTGGTGGTGAACTAATCTGATGAGGGGAAAAATTGTGTTAGAGAGAATCTTTACAATCCAAAATCAAAATCTTTCACCAGCATCAAGAGAGCTTTATTGTTGTAACCCAACGTTTTGTACTGCAGAGGAGTGACGTTTAAAAATTCTTGAACAACAAACCTTTAAACAGCTGAAAAAAAAAAGAAAAAAGAAAAAGATGTGAAATGGAAGATTGGAAACAGCAGAGAAAATTATTTAAAGCACTTTGACATCCATGAAAGATTATAAAGACATCCTGAATGTACAATGGGGGGTATGCAAAAGGTGCTGGAAGGAACTTCCGCCAGACTTTCCTTTAATGCCTCTGCAGAATAACAATGAAGTAATTCTTTACAGAATGCCCCTTTCCTGAGTTCTTCAGCTGGCTCAGCCAGAGGGTTTAGGAGCGGATTGGTTCCCGTGAGCAGAAGTGCCAAATATATCTCTGTTTGGATAGAGTATGTTGAATGGGGGACAAAAGGCTTTGGACTGCCCTGCGCATACCTGCTACTGTAGACACTGGCCAGTGTTTCAGTCCCTGTGGTCTTTGTTACTAGGACAAGAAAAAATGTACATCTGTATTGTTTTATTGGCCACAATTGCTGTGAATTGCCTTTCATTCTTTAAAATTTGGAGGCTGTTCATAAAGCAAAATCATATAGCAGAAGTGTATATACTGTATAAGTGCAGCCCCCGAGTAACGTGATGATTTTCATCCACAGTGGAGTAGATTTTGCTTTGTTCGTTGCTGCCAGTTTACGTTGCTTGGTTAAAGAAGACATCATGGGGTAGTTCAGGCCAGTGAAACAAATTCTTTTCTGCAGCGTTCTTATCACTCTGTAAACCCTTTTGTAAGCAGCTCATCTCTAAAATAGCATAGCACCTTACCTGCTTTTGCAAAACATTTTGAAAGCACAGTGTAATCTTAAGGATTTCATTAATTGCGTCCCAATAGGAGTGCCTTCCTCATCTTCTGTGACATAGATCTTAATTTTGTCAGCATTTTAATCTCTTTTGAATGCTTTGAAAGATCTCAAACATTCACTTTCTCTTGGCTCACCATACACGTCAATTGAATACAATGAAATTTGTTCATGCTTCAAAATATGCTTTTGCATTCTACCTGAGCACTTTGAGTTGGATCTTATGGACATTCAGTGCACAAAGTACTTGCTTCCTGTAAATTAATACTTAATTCCATTCTGCTATATTATTTCATTGCTAATATAATGTTTCCCCTTTTTTTAGGGAAAAAACCCAAAACTATCAGATAATGATATGGAGCTCTCACATACTGTTTTGCATTGCTGTTTCTCACTGTGTCTGTCTTTTGGACAGGTATTCAGCTATCCACAAATAGATGTCAATCCATTGACTTCAGTGAGGCTGGCCCTTTTTACACTGACTGCAGAGCTGTTCTGCTCTATCCACAGTATTGCTCCTTGCACTTGTATGAGTACAAGACGGTGCAGTATCAGACACTATAGGCTGCAAACTTAAAAAAAATCTTTAAGAACCTGAGAACTGTGAATTGTGTCCTCAAATCCGGTAGATTATGAGGTGAGGTTTAATGTAAGTCTAAGAACAGAATCTTAGATATTCTGTTGTCCTTATAGAAGCACAGGCATTCCAATGGCCAGTGTGAGATGCTGCCTCTGGATTAAAAATATTTGTAAGACAAGTGGAACAAGTGCAAAGGTGTTTGTGCTAGTCACTATGGGAGTGCTAACTTGTACTGCCAGACCATTCAAAAATTGAGATCTGAGCTCTAACCACAAAAAGTCACATGCTGAATCATGGTGCAGCCTGCAGACCTAAAAGCAGAATTTTGCCTTTAAGCTTTAAAAACACTAGCTAGATGAATGGAGTCTTCCAGTATAATTTATTCTGTACTTGCATAGTGAAGATATAACATATAAAGCAATACTGAAAAATATGTTCCTTTATTTTTTTTATTTTTTTACTGGAATACTGTGAAAGCATCATTGGGTACATCATGTCCTTTAGAGAATTTGTGTTTTTCTCATAGAAATCTAATGCTTTTCATTTTCCTTAACCATTTTCTGGCAAATACATTGTGTCTGTGCACTTGTGGCTTACAGAACAAGGCTAGTATGTACGTAGCTCTTCTGGGAGCATGGCTCAAGGGCCTGCCCTGTGTTCTGTAAGAATCCTTTGCTCATTCTGTACTTCTTCTGCCAAACAGGCTGCTGCTTCATTTCTTCTTTGCAGCAAGTTTAAAATCTCATGATATTTATGGTCCTCATTTGTCATAATTTCTCCCAGGCCAAGCTCCTATTAGTGACTTCATTGCTTCTGCCAGTTCCTTAGGTGGAGATGGCTTAAATGGGTGTAACCAAAATGAAAAATGTAGCTAAATTGGGTGATTCAGAGTAGGATGAGATAATGTGGCAACTGGCACTATTTGAAGCATTCTCTATTTTGTTTGTCTGAATATATCAGGCATTAAAGAGAATATAGTGGTAATTGTGGTCCAGTTTCCCGCATACACAGTCAGGTTGTAAATCAAAAGATCTGCATTATGGAGCTCTGAAATAAAGAGAGGGAAATTTATAACACAGAACTTATTTGTTAACTTAAATGTATCAGAATGAAGAAAACCAAGCTCATCTCAGAAGAGACAGAAAGGAAAGAATATGGTTAAATATGGTGTCTTTGAAGAGCTTGTTATGCTTTCTTACGATGATTCTGCTTTCTCTACCCCCAGCTTTCTTTGGAAAGTACCTTAATGAATACAACGGCTCTTATGTTCCTCCTGGTTGGAAGGAATGGGTTGGATTGCTTAAAAACTCTCGATTTTACAACTACACACTCTGTAGAAATGGAGTGAAGGAGAAGCATGGATATGACTACTCCAGGGTACGTCCTATTGATTTATTTCTATTTTTTTAACATTTGGACATGACTGCAAGAAAGCTGCACTTTTATGGTTTCAGACTAACTAAAGAATTCATTTCGTACTTGAGAGCTGCTACATGTACCATTAGCTATAACCCAACAGGCATTGTGTTTGGAGTTTTCCTTATCTTCCGTTCTGGGAGGGTCATGTTACTGAAAACATTATTAGTAGCAATGGAAGCAAACAAAGTGTCCTGAGACTGTGTTATATATTATGAGCTGAAGACGTGAAAATGGATTTAAATGTTTCATGATAACAATTTCTGTGCTTTGTACTGTAATTATTGTGTGCTGGGTCTGATTGTCATCTATTCCCCTGCTATAGAACTGGCTCCAGTGGAGTTACACAAGCGTAAATGAGATAAGAATCCAGTTCCCTCCAGCTAGACCCATCTTTTTATGTTAGTTTAAGGAACTTGTTTCACAGCCATAATATGATGGAGAATTCATAATATCTTGGTATATCTTACAATCATTCTGAATGAGTAGAGAATTTAACTATTAAATTTATATCTCCGTGTATTGTTACAGGCACGTATGTTTCCTAATATCCTTGCAAAGATGTTACACCTTGGCCAAACTTACTAAAATGCTTGGTAATCATTGTCAAATGCAGTAGCATTTTTCTTCCTCATCTAGCACACGTTACAGCTCAAGCCGTTACCTGTTCGCAGTCAGGATTATGTTTATTTCAGCCAAAAGTGTTACCTTTCCAAAGGAACCAGCTTCTGTGAATTCTTAAAATGGCCTGAATTGTCCCTGAAGTATGAAGATAAATAAATTTATCCATAAACTGCTGTTGGTTTAAGTAGTGTATAATTTACGAAGTTGACTCAGTCTGGAGCGATACTAATTTGTGAGGTGTATTTGCTTAACAGGGATTTGATTTTCTTTTTCTCATTGAGCACAAATCCAGCTTCCGTATTTGTGTTTCATTAGCAGTGAGTTCACAGTCAGCTTTTCCTTTAAAAGGTTAATGTCTGTGTGATTTTCTCCCTTCCCCTCCCCTATTTGCCATTTTTAATTAAATGTACTTTGTGTTGAAAGATAAAACTTAACAGGCTTCTAGGGTTTTCTTTTCTGTCACCAGCTGCGAAGGGGAAGGGGCAACTGATGTACAGAATTATTTGTCTTTTATTTCCCTTCTGATCTATGAAAAATGAGAGCTAATCTTTACAGCCATGTACCAAAAGTGTTATGATGGAAATATATCTTACGTAGAATAATGTCAGTGATTTCATAGGGGACTGTTCCCAATTGTACCAAGGAGCCAACAGGGAACTTTATGTTCCAGTATCCTCAGCTCTCTTCTGTGTATGCAATACTTGAAAATGTTTAGGTTTTCATTTGGTTTAGTTTTTCTTACCGAGTTTGGTAATAAATACAAAAAGTCTGATGAAAATATAAATGTTTTTATTATCTTCATATTCTTGCATAGTACACAGCTATGGTAATAAACAGATGATGGTGCACAGAGCAACAGCACTTGTTGGTATTAACACTGGAGTTCAAATGAACAAACAGAAGCTGAAATACAAGATTGCTTCTCTTTCTTTCCTGCTGTTTTTGTTGCTGGAAACTTAATTTTCTAGCAATTAATAATATAATCAGATTAATTTTACCCCTATCTACTTGACATAGTTAATGTTGATTACATGTCAGTGGAAAACTAGAAAAAAACATTTCTGATTTGGTCCTCCAAAGTGACTGCTGAACACTTACCTTCTGAAAATCAAATCTTTACAAATGCTTTCAGATTTTCTAATAGAATATATTGTACTTCGATTTTTCTTTTTCAGATTCTGTCAACTTTTTTAGATTAATTTTTAGTTTTGTACATGTTTGCACAGTCTACTACAACCTCTATAATCTGGAGCTTTAAAAAAAAAAAAAGAAATCAGTTAAGGGAAATGTTTCTGTTTGGTCTTTTGGTCTGGTAAACACTGGCTTTGCAACACTGAATTGGAATGATTGTCACTTGACCAGTTGAAAACCTTCATCTTCAAAATGAAGTTTAGAAACTATGCTCTTGTAATGGCCAAATCAAAAATTAGTTACTCCCTTACAAAAGTGACCGACCAGCTTAAAGAGCAGGCACATTTTAGATAAATGCCAGGGCATTTTTGTGGGCTCTCCGTATTTTCTCTCAGCCATGAATACAGTCTCAGGATGTTCAGAAGTCAGTTTTGCTTTGGTCTGGGTTATTGTACCTTCTCCCTTCCCCGCATGGAGACCCCTCAGTTGACTTGGATGGAATTATGCCTGTTTACACCTGCTTTCATGAGTGAAAGTATCATATCAATAACAGTCATAATCATGGCAGTTTCGTAATGTACAGGCCTCATGTTGGGACAAAAGTGTAAAATTATAAATGAAAACTTTGCCAGCCTTGTTCTGGGATACACAGGAAATAACTTGGGGGTAGTAAATACAGTCAATGAAGAAGGTTTCCTTTGATGAATGCTAAGCTAACTTCTCACACCAAGGACATTGGCATTGGTAAAGGGGAGCAAGTGTCTGAACCAGGGACTGGAAGCTGTGCTTCAAAGGAGATGCAATCCAGTGTGTACCACACCTTGTACTTGTTCACTTGACCAGAGGCATACTTTGTGTCTGATTTTCACATTCAGCTGTGACATGGCAGTTATTATTTTGTTTTTTAAAGGTGCAGTTTACTATCCTGCTCATGTGTGAAGGTTATATTTGCAGCATTTCCTGTGATGCAGCCTAAGAGAGAGCATGGCTTGTCATTAAAAAGACTGTCTTCAATCCATATAGCTCCAGCAGATATCAAAAGAATGATAATGATACTTCTTTAAAAAAGTGAAGATAGTCCCTAACTTCCAAAGGAAGTTTTCTAAATTCTCAGCAATGCATTTGATAGAGCTATACCTCTATCAGGTTGTTACTGTGAACATAATATTGAATGAAATTTTGGGTCCAATTAGCCCAGCATCTTCTACCTTTAGTGACTTCTGGTTCAGAAAGAGGTTAAGAAAAATTAACATCATATCTTTTGGATTTTCAAAGTCCTTTTATGGTGTAAGCACTTTGAAGATATTGGCACCAAAAAGCAAAGAAATTGACCCATAGTTTTCTATTTTTTGTATTAATACCTGGTCATTGTGTTTACTATTGTGATCTTCATAATGTAATTAAACAGCCTGGGAAGAAAGAGTCCTATTTGATCTTCTTTAATGTCATTCATTTCTGAGAGGAAGCTGTTGCTTTTCATATTTTTAGGCAGTGAAGAAAGAATTACTTGGTTTTAGTTTTTGAAGTTTTATCACCTGTAACTTACTCCCTCCTCTTCCCATTCTGAGTAAAGTAGCTTCTTTTTTCCTGTTTCGTGTGGTACCTCAGACCTCCCCTTCCCATCTCACCCCCCAACTTAAAAATATTTTTCAAGTATCTCATTATACTTTTACTTCTACTTGCAGGATTATCTAACTGATCTGATTACCAATGACAGTATTACCTTCTTCAGAATCTCAAAGAAGATGTATCCTCACAGGCCTGTACTGATGGTTATAAGCCATGCTGCTCCTCACGGCCCTGAAGATTCAGCCCCTCAGTACTCACATCTCTTTCCTAATGCCTCACAGCACATGTAAGGAAAGATAAAAAAATAAAAACCCTTTTATTTCCAGGTGCAGGAGTATAGAAGTCCTGGGTACCTCTGGGGGAACAATGTTTGCTTTATAATGCTTTTGCCATGTTTGTCACAAATGCATAAGAAGGGTTTGGAGATTTACTTATTTATTTTACCTCTTCAGAATAGTAGAAGTATCTTGAGAATTGCTACTGCATCTAGAACTCAGAATTGTAGCTCACTGAGATAAATGGAAAGATTCATGTTGAATTAATTGGGCTTTGTTACAACCTGTTTGGGAAGTAAAGCACTTTTATTTTGAGCAGGGGTTCTTGGGCTGTAATCTCTTCAGGGGAAGAAACTCTATCTCCCTGTCCTTATTATTTTATGGCTATTACCAAAACTCAGGTAGAATGCAATAGTTATTGCTCCTATTTCATACATGGAAAGTAAGGAAATACAGGCCTGCAGCACCAAATTAGACAAGCTATTTCTGAATGAGCTGTTATGTCTCTACATGACCCAGTACAATGTCTTGAACAGGTCCCAAAAGCAGTATCACCCGGTACTTGAGTTAACATGTTCATAAGCTCCGTGATGAGACGGTTCCTGTTTATAGCACAGAGACATTTTACAGGTATAGCTCTGCAATGTTCCATTACAGGCATCTCCTCAAATGGTGATAAAATGAATGGTTTCTCCCAAATAATCTTTTGGCACAACTGAAAACTTTCCAGTATTTTTCTAGTTACTGGCTTCATGCCTTCATTGATGTTCAACATTTGTAACTTTCTTCTTTCTTCGCTTTCTTCCCCCCCTTTTTTTTTGAAGGGGAATTCTGTTTTATTTTTGGATATGTGAAGGAACTGGGAACTCGTATTAATGAATTGGTGGCCGAAGCTGCTCAGGACTTGTCCAAAGTCCAGTGAAATCCATTTCAGCTTTTTCACTTTATTTAAAATAGAGTCTGAGAGAAAAAGCTTCCTTTATTCTATTGTCTTGGTATTGCGTAACTTAGAATTCTATATTTCATTATTTTGTGCTGTGCTACCAAAGAGAATCTGTGTCCTAGATCTACAGCAATGCAGCATTTTGTGTTTGTTTGCAGTCTTACGCTCGTTTATTTTCTTTGAAATGAAAATTACAGAAATGCCAAATGAGCAACTTCTTGTAGCTTATGCCCAGTATTGACCTCAGTCTTATTAGAAGTTCCTTTGGAAGGCATTTGTATCTCAGAGATGATAATAATTTATCAGGCAGCGTTTTGTAGCAATTTAACTATGCTAGTCGAATGAAAAAGAGTAGAAGGATTTGAGGAAAGGCCAGCAATGAAAATATAAACTACGTCTATTTTTTCATTTCCTCATAGTTTAATTTTTTTTACACACAAACTAGGTTTATCTTCCTGATTATAAAGTAGTTACACAAAGCTGTTTTTAATTGTAGGTGACTTTTCTTACAATGATAACATTTATACAGGAAGCGTCCTGCTTCGTGGGAACCAGTTTTGTTTGTGAAGAAACAAATTATCTTAGCAGATTAAGGAAACTGTGTTTTTCTTTTGGATATTAACATAAAATAGGATTTTAAGTACATCTTGTGCAAAGAAACCGTCGATCTTATTCTAAATAATTTTCCCAGCACTACATCATAACAATCTGTAAGGGTTATCATTGGCCTGGGTTTAAGATGAAACGCAGAAGTGCAGAGCGTGCATCATTCCCTCACTGTATGTACAAATTAGTTCTCTACTTTCCATGTTTTCCGTTGTTCCCACATTCCAGGGAATCTCTTAGTAGCAGATAAATGTCAGAAAATGTCAATGATACAGGGGTGTAGGCAGTTCTCACGGGTTTGTTGTCACGTGGCTGTGGCAGGGAAGGATCAGAGCAGAGGCAGAACACTTCCTGTGAATTGTCCGAAGGCAGTAAGTAATACCCTGAACAAAGTCTTTGCCCAGCCCTGGAGTCAGAGGGCAGTAACCATGTGCTGTGTCTCTGCACCTCTTCTTGTGGCAGCGCTGGTGAAGTCTGCAGGTAGATTCTAGAGCTATATCCACATGGCAAAGTGAAGGTGTGATTGTAACGCTTGCACAGGCTGCCACACACTGCATTGTGTAGCACTGCTAATGGCAGCTGAAAGTTAGTGGTGTGGATTTTACATTGACTGACAGAGTACTTCTTTGCTTGGGAACTCTGGTAGGTACTTGTGTTGCTAATTTATGCTGCTTTTCTCTTGCTTCTGTTATCACATGTACTCACTGGTAGGACCATTCCACCCTACACTGCAGTCTCTCTCCATCTGGTTCTGTAGGGCTCCTTATCGTGTGCATCTGCAGGCTTTCCTTGTTTGAAAATTATTCGCATCAACCAGCATTCACGTAGGAAATCCCTAGGCTCTACATGGCTGGTTTTCCTTTTTTAGTGTCCGTACTGATAGCTGCAGAGAATGGAACAGCTGGGCAGTTTAACGGTGATCAGAAATGTTATTTCTATAGAGGGTACATTTTACCACCCATCTTGCCCAAGGTCAAATGCAATCAGACTAGGACTTATCTTCTGAGTCCATTTGAAGAGGGTTATCTTAACCAACTTCTAGGAATGTTATATTTGTGTATTTTTCCCATAAGACGGACAAATCTGTTAAGTGTAAGAGGGTTACATTTGTAGTAATCAAAGAAAATCACGGGCTTTGGTTGGATTAAACAGCGGGAGGTTTCAAATCAGCCAGGAAATCACAAAGTAAGCTGAAAAGGAGTTTGCCAAGCATTTTTTATTCATTCTGGGCATCACATAGCAACAGTTTCCATAACTGTCAGCGTTTTCAAAGGAGCAATGTCATTATTTCAGCCACAATAACATTCTGAAATTCAAGAGGCTATTAACAATACAGAGAGAATAAACACCAGCCCTTTCCTCCCTATATGAAGAAGCCTCCATTTGCCGCCTACGCACATTTTTCAGATAGCATCTAACAGAGGCTTTCGGCATAGAACATTTCACTGTCAGATTATTAATTTCATGTTTATATTAAAACTCTTAAGACTACCTGTCAAATTCAAAGAGACATTAGATACACAGTATTTTGAGGAGAAGTTTGAACTTATATTACTATTGTTTATCTTAATAACTTATCCTGCTGCATATACAAAGCCAACTGTAGATATTTGCCAAATGGGAGCTGTATATATTAGGAAATTGTTTTGTTGGGAAGAAGAAAATAACTGAATATCTGCTATTTTTTTCCTGTGTTACTGTGTCACTCTGTTGGCTTGTGCATTTGCATAGACTGAGTTTATTGCTTCGAATGAAAAAGGGAAGCCTCAACAAATCACTTGGGAAAAGTAATTTTTAATATTTTAGACTCTGCAGGTGATGTGTTTGAGCCAGGGTATGAAGAAATTGACAAACGTGTTTCTCAATCTTAAGTAATAACAATTTTTTTAGGAATAGAGTAGGTAAAAATAATATTTTTTGCAAATGTAAGCTATTATGTAGATTTCAAGTGAGTTGGACATTATGCAGAAACTCAACATCATGGTAATGATATATCAGAATAAATCCTTTCTTTAGACCCCGCTAACCTAGAGCAATATAATTAGGCACAGAAGAGCAACTTCTAGAACTGCCAACAACATGAAATTATGGAAAATAAGTGATATTTCTCTGCATGACTTTAATGGTGTCCATGAGAACTTGGAGGGGCAGTGAGATTCTAGGAGGCCATTGAATCCAGCTCTTGGGATTTTGCAGGGACTTTAATTAAAGTTTCTGGTTATCACAAAGGATTTGTTGGCTGGAAAGTGTCTGCAAAATACAGTCCCATTTCCCCCCACCCCTGCTTTGCTTGACAGGTCTTTAAAATCCAGCTGTGTATCCACTTCTGCTTGCCACGAGCTCACAGGCAGTTCGATAGCACTAGGTAGGGTGCCTGTGCTCCTCCAGGTACATGAGTGTGAACGTATTCAAGTAGCCACTCATGTTGAATTCAAAAAAGCCATTGAAGAACATAGTAGAACCTTTTCAGCAAGTTCTATAATTATTACTAAACAGCTCACACAAGCCATAATATTTGGTGCTAATGTGGGCTGAGCGAAAGCAAAGCAATTGTATGAGTAGGACTCTCTAGTATGTCCTTCAGCCACACCATACATGTGGAGTTAGACCTCTGAGGTTAGTCTCTTGGCCTTGAAATGTATCCATGTTAGTCCGCAAAAGCAATGTATATTTACTCTTGTAATGGATTTTATTCCCCACAGAGTTCTTTTCATTCTCCCATGTTTCATATAGAACATAAAAGTATAAGACTTTTCCAAAGTAAATCTAATATTTTCTTGTGCATCTCAGAGAGTCAGTCCTATAGTGTTGGTCAAATAGAAATGATTGGTAGACATCACTATGACTTTTTTCTACACTGCTAAGAAGTTCTGGTTTTCTCCCTGTTCTTTAGCACTCCCAGTTATAACTATGCTCCAAACCCAGACAAGCACTGGATAATGAGGTACACAGGTCCCATGAAACCGATCCATATGGAGTTCACTAACATGCTACAGAGAAAGCGCCTTCAAACACTCATGTCTGTGGATGACTCTATGGAGATGGTAAGATTGGTAGTCACTTTTTTGGCTATACAGATGCCAAAATATTATTTTTTTTAATTAAGTGTGCATTATGTAATAATGAAATCTCTTGGTGCAAGCTGGGTGTCTTGAACAGAAATGTCTGAATTAGCTAAAAGCTACTCTGAAAAAGAATGGGTTTCCAGTTGATAGAAGGCAGATTTAAAGGTGTTGCAATTTACTGCTTATCTCTTGGCATTCTTATTCAGAAAAGGTAGAATATAAAATAAGAGGAGTCCTGTCAGGCAAAGATGAGATTATCTGAATGGCATTGCATCAACTTGCTAGTAATGTCTTATAATTACTGATTGAGGCAAGTATGAGCTCTACTTCGTATTAATGAACCTGTTTAGGTGGATCAGATACCAGCATTAGGGGAGATCGGCTGTTTTACTACACTATTTTGATTGTCTATTTAGTAAAATGGTTTCACTTTGGGTGATTCACTGCAGGTAAAAATCAGTCGGGTTGGTTTTTAGTTGTAATTGGCAAGTTTAGTGAATTATATGCATCTAACAGTCTTTCAAAAATTAAAAAACAAAACCAGACAAACAAACAAGACAGCCCAAAAAAGAACCAAAAAACCACTCAAAACAAAACAACAACAGAGTTTGTTTTCTTCTGTGCTGATGTGTTCTGGGTTTGTGAGGCACTAAAGTGGTGCCCCACCACCTTCGTACTTTTGCAAGTGAAAATGTCACATAAAAAGTGATCTTTGGTGCTCAGGTTGGTACATTTCTCATAAAGATTCTCATGTAAATCTATAGAAGCAATTACAAAGTTAAAGCTCTTCTTAATTCTCAGTGTTAGTTCCCCAGCTAGTGAGAGAGTATGACTGAGTGGTATTTATGTGGAAGAGATTTTGCAAATATTCTGCAAGACGGGGACTCATTTGTCTGAAGGCAAGATCATTGAGCGTTGCTTAAATAAGTGTGAGATTCAAAATGCTGTCATTTTATAAAATTATTTGCTGCAGGAAAAAGATAAAGGTGGAGAGAAAATTTCAAAAATGCTTATCACCTTGAGACTTTTCTCCATTTTATAAAATTATTTGCTGCAGGAAAAAGATAAAGGTGGAGAGAAAATTTCAAAAATGCTTATCACCTTGAGACTTTCTGTTACTGTATGTATTTACCTTGTTGGCTCTCGTGCAAAATACTGAACCCAAACACTTTTGAAAACGAGTCCTGCTAATGTATTTACCGTAAAACAGAAGACAGAAGTTTGCCTTGTAATAGCCACAATATTCAGTTAATAAAATTATGATGTAATTATGGATTATTCAGAATGTTTCATTGTAATCTCTCACTGCCATCCTGAATTGTTCTTTATTTGCATATTAGGCATAGGCAGAAAATTATATCCAGTATTCTACATATAGTACTACTCAATGGAACTAATTTCGTATTTTGTTTTGCTTTTTTTCAGATTTACAATACATTAGTTGAAACAGGTGAACTGGACAATACATATATAATCTACACAGCAGACCATGGGTATCATATTGGGCAGTTTGGGCTGGTGAAAGGGAAGTCCATGCCATATGAGTTTGATATCAGAGTTCCTTTCTACGTCCGAGGTCCAAATGTGGAGGCTGGATCCTTGTAAGTTCTTGGCTATTGTGTGTGTGTGTTTAAATAATGACCAGAATAAATCCTTTGTGGTCACATCTCTAGTTCTATTGACATGGATCCAGAGAGAGGCACAAAGTTCTGCCCGTCCTGCCTGACTTCCTGCTCAGCTTTGGCAGAATCACGTCTGCTCAGGAAGCAGAACTGATAACCTTCCTGCTCAGCTTTGGCAGAATCACGTCTCCTCAGAGAGCAGAACTGATAACAGGTGCTGATAGAACAGCGTCACAGTTTTACACCATTGCCTTTTTGCTTGCGTAGGCGTGTGGCACAAGCCACTGCACTTTTGTGGGTGGAGTTGAAAAAGCCACTTTGAAATATGTCCACTCTAGGAAACATTCATTTGCCCCCTTTTGAGGGATGCAAATAATGCACAGAACTATGATATTTTCAAGGTAAAAAATACACTGTATAACGTTCACTACCAGGGTAGATAATTATTGCTGAACGTTTGAGTGGAGTCACTTGTTTCAGTTTATGAAAGTAGAATGTACATAATAGTTCATATATTACCATCCACAAAAGATTCTTTTTGGCTCATCCTTTGAGATTACATGGTTAAGGCTGTTTGTCGGATGCACGCAAGCATGCAGAATATGACTGTTAATTAAAATGGTAGCTTTGATCAGCTAAGAAATTATGTAAATACACTTTCTAAGCAATTATTTCAATAGCAAATATTTGCACTTAAGTAATGATTTTGGACAGAGTGCCATAATTTGCTGCCTTTTATTTATATCAGTGTGCATGTTTTAGCATAATTAACACACACAAAGTCTTCCACACACCATTTTTTTTCTTTACCGCAGAGGAACAGATCTAGTGTGTAATACGGTAGCAAATAGTCATTAAAAAATCTCATTCCATTTGCTGGTTAAATTCACTGATTGACATTATCAGTAGGCACAAAAATGTTAAATTCTGTAAATATTACACTATGTGGCTAATTTATCTACAGCAGTTATGCATGTGAAATAAACAATATTACCTCTCTAAAGAGCAGAGGAGGGATTCCTCAGGTGGAATTAAACATACTACCTCAGCACTCAAAGAAGTTTGTCTGCAGCAGCAGCACAGAATTTCAGTTGAACTGGATTAGCTGCCTAAGAACATGCTCTTTCCCTGTGCAGTTTTTGGTCTTGCTGGAGAGGTGATGCTAATAGGACCCAAGTAGACTGAGTTAGTTTTTCTGCAATGTGCAATGCTAGAGACCAGCCACCTCCTGTTTGCTCTAGTTCAAGGATCTTTACACCCAGACATATGTAAAAGCTGTGAAACCTTCCTACTCAATTTTATTTTTCAGTGGCTTCTGAAGATGAAAAAATATTTCTGTTAGAATCAGAGGAGTCAGCCTGCCGGGGTCTAACAGAACAGAGCCCGTCACAGTACAACAGATAGGAAGAACAGGATAAAATACCTTGAAGGGGGAATGTATCAGATAATAAATTGATCCTCCCTTTCAGACTGATTTTCTTTAAATGGCAGAACTTCAATCATCCATGTTTTGTGTGAACCTTATGTTTTTCCTGCAGAGTAATTGTCATGACTCCCTTTTGATATCAACGAAGATTTAATAGCAGTCACTGTAGCAAGTCATTACTAAGCTCTCATTTCTATTACCAAATATGCTACACCACAATTATTAGTAATTAAAATCAAATTAGGTACATCAATTTAATTCATCATCCATGCTCTTGTCAGTGCCTGTTTGCTCGCTTGCTCAAAAATGTAGTAATTTTTAAATGGTCTCTCATTAATTAGTGTGAATTTAGCAGCTTGCTTCTGTCCTGTATTTTGAGCTAGAATTCTGCACTGACATGTAGAGCCGCCCATCTGGTCCCATCCTTCCTTTGTGCCTGCAGATCATGGCACGATGATTCTTTATGTTCAGTGCTGTAGAAGACAGCATGCTCGCTTTCTTTTCTTTCCCCACTTTTAAGAAATTGAGTGCCTTCCTAATTTTTTTTTTTTTAAAGAAATAAGGAAGAACTAATAAACAGTATGTATATATGTAATATTGTGAGTAATTACACAACGCTGGCTGTCTTAGACATATTTGAAATGAGTTTGTAAGGGCCAATATGAACTGAAAACACTTCTGCAAAACCAGACCCGTGGTAAAACCAAGTCACAGGATTAGAAATCTGGGCATTTGTTTGGCTGCTGAATGCCAGGCTGTGCAACCAGATGTTCCGATGCCTGAACTCACTCGTTCAGCTGTGGCAGTTCAAGGGATCTGGGGCCTATTCAGGAGTTGATGCCAGTGTTGTTACCAATTTTGAAATCAGTTTAAGTTCAAATATTATCCTGTAACCTGTAGTGGCTGAGGATCATATGCCAGACTCCGGTTAAGTAACAGGGTGTGCTTCTTTGCAGAATGCATAACTGCACTAGGGACAATTGCTATTATTTGAGTTAAAGCTGTGCTTTTATTTCTCTCTCTTTTTGTTTTTCCTTTCTCCATACCTGTTACCTCTCTGCTTTTTCTTTCTTGATACCTTTCCTTTTTCTGCCTCACACTCTACATTAACAGCAACTTTTAGTTATTTACTGTAGTGTCTAGCAATATATTTCTCCTCGTGTTCTCTTCAGAACATGCTTGCTCTGATATGAGCTGATGTACTTACTTCTATACCATTTGAAACAGATAAAGCATGTGCTACCTGCCAAATCTAGTTTTTAATAAAGTCATCAGCATATTTGGCAAACGCTTCGATTCTTTAAGACACCCAAGGAGTTTTTCCAATGCTTTCTCGTGTTTTGAAAGACTTTTGCAATAATTAACTAACTTTGCCTTATGAACTACTTTGTTTTCTCAAAAATGCTCTGTGCTAAAATTTTAAATCTTCATATTAATCCCTCTTGAGGTTATGCAACTTCTCTGTATTTTACATTTTAATTCCCTTCATGGAAAGGAATTGGATTGTGTCCTCTTTTCTTCTTTGCAGATGTCACAAAATAAGCCTTTTCAAATCCCTGGTCTCTGTGGAAGAGCTGGAGTTACTTGGTATCATCGCATAGGCTTTAAACTAGCTTCTTGTGTATGTTTTTTTCAGGAATCCTCACATTGTGTTGAATATTGATCTTGCACCTACAATTCTAGATATTGCTGGATTGGATATTCCATCTGATATGGATGGTAAATCAATTCTAAAGCTTCTGGATTCTGAGAGACCAGTGAATAGGTAAGAAATGGAAATGTGTGTGTAAATATGTATGTGTTTGTACAGGAGATGGAGCAAGTGTTCAGCAACGTGCAGCAAATTTAAAGGAAAACATAATAAAATTACCATCTATATGAGTACATCATTCACTGGAAAATCTAAATACCTATTTGGCAATATGTGACTGACTTCAGTTATTCATTTTCATTTTGTCTGATTCATATACTAGCTATGTGGCATATACAGCATCTGGATATACTAAACACAATCTGTGTAGTAGTGAGGGGGCGGCACATGAAGGTCTTCAGCCACTTGAGCTATAGATTTTAAATGTCCCTGTGGCATCATTTGTAGCAAAGTATTTCATATCCCTGGGGGTGTTCAAGGCCAGGTTGGATGGGGCTTTGAGCAACCTGGACTAGTGGGAGATGTTCCTGCCCATGGCAGGGGGGTTGGAACTCGATAATCTTTAAGGTCCCTTCCAACTCTAAGCATTCTGTGATTCTATATTGAAAAAATTGTAGAAGAATTGAGTTGAAAGGATTGGTTGGGTATTAGGCTATAATATAAAGACAGGCTAGCACTCAGAATTGCAGTAATTATCTGAGACCTTCCATCAATACTTTAATTGGAAAAAGACTGAGGAAGAGAATTAGACTGGATGCTTGCTGAAGAAAATGAGCAGAAAAGGGGAAGAAGGAGATTTGCTTTACAAGTAGTTGGGTGGAGGGAGAGGGGGAAGAGAGCAGCTGCTTTAGAATAGGATACTTTGGGGGTAGTGTGCAAGTTAAGAGCCCAAACTGGAGTCAGGAAATCCTGATTTAATTTGTGATCCTTTGTGATCAAGGACAATTCAGTTAATCCCCTGTGCCTTAAACACGTTTATGTTGGAATATTGTGCTGTGTGAATCTGTTGTAGATTTTGTCCCTGTGAGAACAAATCTGTCCTATGTTTGTTCGTGATTTGCGCTGGAGAGGCATATGTGCCTGCTTCGTAAAGCTGGACGTCCCCCTGTGCAGTTATATGTAATGTTTCTCATCTGAATTGGGGGTGGGAGAGAAAACTGGGGCATGACTTGATTACTAGATTTGTGGGAATTGCTTCTTCATCTCCCTGTTTCCTCCTAGGTTCCATTTAAAGAAAAAGATGAAGGTGTGGAGAGACTCGTTCCTAGTAGAAAGAGGGTAAGGAAAGTGTTAATCACAGAGCCCAGTCTTTTTAAATAGAAGGATGCTGAATAGCTGAAGCCAAAGCAGCACTCCACCACGGACCTGAAACCATTTAGCAGTGCCAGCGGGGACAGGGCTGCAATGTGCCTAATGGCAGGGATTGTGTGATAGGAGGGGATGTATGGCCTTTGCCTACAGCCTGCATAAATGTGCTGTTGGGTGGGGGAAGGGGAGTTTTACTTGGATTGAGAGATGGAAAGGCATTCCGTTTTTAAGCAGCTGCCCTCCCCAACCCCCACCCTCCTGCATGTATCATGGGAGTATGAATAAGGCCTTTCCTCTCCGTGTGTTCATCTGCTGGCCATTCCCTCTGTGCCTCTGCCTTAATACCTAACATGGGGCATAAGGGTTTGCAAAGAGCAGCCCTGTAGAGAGAGGAGGGTATGGTCTCTTCACAGTAATGGCTGTTACTGCCTGCCAATCAAACCTGAAACACACTGTCTTGGGTTTATGTGGTTTTGTGCACTCCCTGAGAGCATGATATGAATCACTTCTGTGGTATCAGAGATGATAAGTGCTAGTTTCTACTGGACTATTAAGTTTTGGCCATCAGTGATGCTATGGACTTGGCAGCTAATCTACTCCTCCGAGTCTTTTCAGCAAATGGTATGTATATCTTGGAATTAATATTAATGCAACAATAAGTCTTTTTTTTTTTTTTTTTCCCCCACACACCTCTCCACCCCCCATCCCCCAGTAAACTGCTGCATAAGAGGGAGAATGAGAAGGTAGATGCTCAAGAAGAAAACTTTCTACCCAAATACCAGCGTGTGAAAGACCTCTGTCAGCGAGCTGAGTATCAAACGGCTTGTGAACAGCTTGGCCAGGTAGGGTGTTGTACCCCTGACTGGAAGTAGGCAGTTGTAGTTGGGCAAAGCTTAACACCTTACTTTTGACAGTGTCCTTCACCTTGTCACCAATGCCAGCTTATAAATCAAATGGCTCATTCTGTGGCCTTTGCTCAAAACTGTATTACAGCATTTATGAACTTGACTGTCAGTCAGGAAATTGCTGATTCAAGTGCCTCTGTATTGATTCCTGACTACTGTTAATGGAACTGCCTATGCTGTTTTAACATTTAATCCCCAAACAGAATGTGGTTGGGATTCATTAGGATTGAGAAGCTACAATGAACCTAACGGATCGGCCTCCTCCAAATACATATAGCTCCTGTTGCTTTGAATTCTTAATTTAACTCATTTTGTTGTTATTATTTCGAATTACATTATATTACTGGGAAACTAGCATTCTGTGAGTGCAGTATATCCCTCCTCTTAACAAAAATGTACTGTGAGAACACACATGCAGTTATGACTGCAGGCAGTCTCTGTGTAGATGGGCACAAAGCTCATTGATCACTTGTTATTTCTCTTGTTGTTGCATAACTGTTCTGGACAGATAGGAAATTATGCTCCCTTTAGATCCGAGTTATGTAGAAGACATCCAGGAAAAAAGTTTAGGGTAGTATCAATATATGGTCTCAGCACAGGAGAAGGTTTTGCAAATTTACTACAGCAGTGCAAAAGCAGAGCAAAGCTATCTCCAGCAGCTCCACTCTTGGGGAGATTTCTCCTTTCTTGGGGGGATTCTCATCCTCTGGAAACATGGCAAAATTGACTGTGCCATTGTTTTCTCATCCAGGTAGCAATCAGAGTACCCCCTTCCAGCGACTGTAACATGTTTTGGCTGTGGACATGTGGACAAAGGGGTGAAGGTAGATGCTAATGTGTCTGTAACTGGACTGGCATCACCTCACATCCTGGTAGCTCAGAGGGCTGTCAGAATAAGACAGTTTGTGGATTATAACCCTCCTTGCAGACCCAATCTGAATGGTTTACCAAGGCTATAGTAATGGGCTACTGAGGCTGCAGCATTTCATTTTTTGCTGTCAGAAGCCAGAATCCCTGTTTCTGGCTCTACCCATCATGTCACTCAGTGCACCTGCAAAATGAGGCCGTTGTTCCTGAGGTGTTTGGATCCAATTTATATGTATAAGCATTTTCCAGATGCTTTTTTCCTCCTGTGGCTTTTTTGTCAGATTTAGTATACAGAGAGATTATAATGTCCTTTTCTTCCTAAAAATACTGAACTGCAGTAGTTTATTGTCATCAGATGTCTTGAGCTGAAATTTTAGATGGGTGGGAGCAAGCCATTGTTTTTTGAATTTGCAACGCTCTTTGAGAAACTGGGGGAAAAGTCATTGTTCCTGCTACAGCATCATCCAGTAAGTAGTTTGGGGAAATACAGCTTTTCTTTTTCCATCAGCATTTTCCCTTTGAGAGATGTTTCAACTTCTTCCTTTTGTCTTCATCTTCCCAATTATTTTGAACATTATTGTAAGAACAGAGGGGAAGAGAGCCTTTCCAAGTCCATGTTGTCACTGAAGCTGTCTCTTTGCGTAAGGTAACTTAGCTACATTCAGGCTTTCTTACTCTAATTACCACATGTCTCGGTTATGGAAGAAAGGGGGAAGGCTCTGTATTGTCTACACACATTCACAGGCTTATGTTTTCTTCCATGGATAATAAAATATCTTTGACATCTGTAAGAAGTGGGCATAAAATGTCAACTCCATATTCAGAATTGCCAATAAATTCTGGAGTGAAGGTGTGCTAATAAGAAATGCGTGTGCTGCATCCTCCTTGTCAGGAGACAGAGAGGAGAAGAATTGTTTTGAGCAGTTCAGTCAGATGTAATTGGAAGTGATAGGATGAAATTGAGCAAAAAAGAAATTTAAGTTGGACATCAGGAAAAATTGCCTAACAATCAAGTCAATTAGAGTCTGGGAAGGGCTCTCAAGGGAGTCTCAATCCATCTAACCCCTGCTCTAGAGAATATGTCCTAGTAGTCTGTCTAGACAGCAGGAATAGTGGGAGATGAATGTGCTTATTTGAGGATAAATTGCGCCTAAATATGGGTGCACCCAAAAGTCTTTTCAGAGTGAAGCAAGACTTAACTTCTCAGATGACAAATGGGTGTTGTCTGTTTGCTGGTGCTGTTCACAGCTCTGCATAGTAAGTAGAACGAGCCCAAATGAATAACATACCACTGCCTTGGGGGAGTTTATGGTATATGGATACGCTGGTTATTTAGCAGATGTCTCCTGAGCCTGCAAACACTTTATTAATGGGCATTTAACAGTGTCTGGAGTGTTTAGTGCAAAAGGTGAATTTTCTCATCCTGATGCAAAGATGAAGAGAAGTCTGGGTCAAAATTTAGGTGAAAGCCTGCTAAAGTCATTGGGATTCTTTCTTTTGAGTCAAAGAAGTTTTGGGGACCTGCTATTCAGTGCACAGAGAAATCTGAGCAGTGCCAGGGAATCTGAAGTGTGAGAGGAGACAAGAAGGACAAATGGAGGACAAACACTCAGAAGGGGAGTGAATGAGAAAAAACAAGGACACAGCTTAGAGTAAAGGAGAGGTAAAGAAAGCTTTGAATTGTGAGATGGAGAATTTAGAATTCTGCTTTGTGAGCATGCAAGTTTGTGAATACAGTTCTACCGCCACAAAATGCTCTTCCTTTGCAAATCTCTGTCACCCTCCTTGACCTATAATCGTTTTGATAAGAGAGCACCAGGATCATGGAGATGAGGCTATTCAGGCTGTTTAAAACCTTGTTTCAGAGTCCATTATGTGGGATTTTTTTGGCAACACTAATATATGTAAATTCTTCTGAGTGCAATGGGAATCTGTGTGTTGCCATGTTTTCTTTTTCAGTTAGTAGGGTTTGGTCTGTGTTAGTTATTTGCATCCAACAAAGGGTGACTGTAGGCTCAGATGAAAGAGCAGCTCAGCATTTATATTCAAGGATTTAAAAGAGATGAGCTCTTTCTTCCCACAAGAAATAAAAAACATTTATCCTAGTACCTAATGGCTTCCACACAAATTTTTTCTCTTCAGTGTAGTTTGGCCTTTCATTCTAAACTGGCTGTTAAGTGGAAGCTGACCCACTTTTATCTGGCGGCCTGCATTAATGTGCTTTTGTGGAAGCCAATTATGATATCAGCATTGCTCTGTAGAGTATTCCCAGCAACTCCACAGTATCATAACAACAGCTGCACAAAATTTCCCCCTAAGTCATTTGCCAACTTTGTGCACATTTGCTAAACATGCAATACCTGCAGCACTGCTGATTGCTATAGGGAATCTATGCTGTACGTGTGGAAAAAAAATTAAAAGTATTAATTTAGTCTTTAGCAGCACCTGATATAGCACAATAATATTGCTAACTTGTGGAGAAAAATAGTTTTCTGAATTCACATTATTTCCTTTTCAAATGCTTTTTATTTTCCAAGCTCTATTTGTCTACAAATCTGACACAAGTACAATTTTCCTTTAAATAACATTAAAAAATATTATTTTATATGACTGTTTTCACCAGGAGAACATTAGAAATGCAAAAATTTGCACTTTGTTTCCTTCAGATGTTGTGCAAATGAAAGGTTTGATGCACAGTTTTCTCTCTGATTGCTTTGTGCTGTACAAGGATCATGAAGGGATATCCTCTTTTGTAACTGGCACGAAGATACCAGAACTAAAATATGGCACTTACTGGGCTGGTCCCCCCAGTTCTCAGACATAGTGTGGTGTAGCAGTGATTAAAACTGTTCTGATCAATGTGTGCTTTCCTACAGCAGTTCATAAGTGGATCTACATCTAGATCGTATCCCTGTCACCATAATCAGCATTAGCCATTGCCTGCTGCCAAGGGTGGGGAAGGAAAAAAATTTGCTTATATTTTCTCCCTTTCCAGATGGTACTGGAGCTTGAACTTCCGTGAGCCTGACCTAGGAAACTAAGTCAGGTTTTATAAGGAATTTCATTTAAAACTGGGAAGGAAGTTTTTGATCTATTATTTTTTGTGGTTGTCCGGTTCTTTCGTATGTAGTAACCTGAGGTTACTAAAGAATTTTGGTTCTGTTGATAAGTGAAGTATATCAAGCCAGCTAGAATGCAGATAATTTTAATAGCTCATTAGGCAGATCTCTGGAGTTCCTGAGTTCCAGTGCGAGTTGCACATGCTCAGCAACTTTCAGGATCCGGTTCTTAATCTGTGATTGCAACAAGAAATGACTTGTTGATAACTTCATACATTAAAAATTTTATCAGCCCTCAAACTGATAACATTAGGAGGCAACAAACCATGAAAATTAAAATTGTGATGATTTATTAAGGGCTGTTATTCAAGGATTGTATTCCTTATCAAGAATTATAATGAACAAAACTGTTTTCCTCCTTTAGCCAGAAATAGCCTATAATGATTTCCAGAGGCTATTTTACTTACAGGTTTTTTTGCTTGTTGTTGCTTCACAAACCCAAGAAATTTGCATCTCTTGTTAACTGAGATTTTTAAACTCCTTGTTATTAGAGTAGTAGATGTTCCAATTAGCTTGCCAAAAAGAATACTAACATTTAATAAAGCCCCCAGATTTTTCAAATATCCAGATGTGAGTAGCAGTGTAGTTTAGTTCAAAAGACAATGAGCTGGAGGTCAGGAGACTGGCTTCAGTCTCGAACTGCTACGGACTCGATGTGGGACCTCAAACAAATCAATTCCCCTTTTGTTGCTGCTGATTTTTTCCTCCACCACCAATGTTATTTCTGCTTAGGCTGCACTCACTCCTTCACTTCTGCAGCACCTAACACAGCAGCTGGGACCACTTGATACCACAATCCAATTATTATATTAATAATAAATGCATTCTAGAATTGTAATCTTAAATTTAGCTGAATACCTGTTTTTTCATTTGCATGTTAGTTGATTGTCCCACCTGCCTCACTTCAGCTACAGTTTGGGGCATTAAAAAGCCCTCCAAATTTTCTGTCAA